AAGCCACTGAACTAATTCCCCAGCCCTAGGAAAGTGAAAATTTGAGAAATAGTAATCCCTTTGTTACATCAGTCATCAGTGAATTATGTCCATCAGAAGTGGTTGATGTTTTGTTTTGAGGCAGGGTCTCACTGTGTAGTCCAGTCTGGACTTGGACTTGAACAGCCCAGACTGTTCTGAAATTCATGGCAATCCTCTTGCCTCAGTCTTCCTCGTGCTGGGAATACAGTCGTGTTAGAACATCTGGCTTAAGTTTTTCCCTTGGACAATTCATATACTGTGATTTAAGAAATGCAAAAGTATTGGTGAAAAAAATGTTTTTAGTAGACAAAATACTTAATTTGAAAAAGTTTGTGTGTTGCTAAGAAATAAAGGAGGTGATGTATATAGTAATTACAAGTCTGGGGTTTTTTCGGTACTGGAAATTGAACTCATGATCTCTTGCTTGCCAGGTAGGTGCTGTGCCACTTAACTGTATCCCTAGGCACATGAATTTTTATTTAAAATTTTCTTTTAAAATTCAGAGATGTTAACTGGATCTTCTTAAAGACATACCAATAAAGATCAGAAAGATCAAGACTTGAATCAAGTTGTGTGATACAACCCAACTCATCTGGCAGTTTTAGAAGTAGTTTGAAACCTCAACTAAATATTTTTTGACCAAAGTGGTTTTATTATGTGTATTATTTATCTATAGAGGTTTATTTTGCTCTGCATTTGCTAAAATAGTCTCAGTATCAGTTGTCAATTTTTAAAGTGAAAATGCTAAGGTAGAGATTTGTTTTGGGAACATTTGCAGTACTCCAGGTGTGGTGGCTCACGCCTGTAATCCCAGCACTTGGGAGGCTGGGGCAGGAGGATCACTGTGAATTTGAGACTAGCCTGGGCTACAAAGTGAGCTCAAGGCCAGCCTGAACTGCATAGCGAGACTCTGTCTCAAAAAGACAAAAAAAAGAATGAACACCATTGGTTTTACTTTGAATTGTTAATGTTATGTCATAAAATTATATTTGTGTAAATGAATGTGAGCTGTGGATTAAGGAAAGGATCATTACCCTATTAATCTTGATTATTCTGATGAAAGCTAATGTGAATGATAGACCCTAAGTAATAAGATAGGAAAGAGGACAAGGAGATGGAAAAGGCACATATTGCCCCTGAAAAGTTTCTGTTCTTATCCTATAGACATGTACTTATTTAAATATTTACACCAGAATATACTTTCATTTTATTGCCCTAACTTGATTACAATATAAGATTATCAGCTTCTTGCCTTATTGAGTCATCTAGATTGATATATCAAAAGCTACATTGATATATCAAAAGCATAATTTTATTTCATAAATTCCACTTAGCTTGTCTTTTTTTTATTATTTTTTTACTTAAGGAGAAAAAGAAAAAAACAGAAAAAGGGTACAAGTAATACAAAATTTAAAAAATAAATAGTAGGAAATCACTAGTTAATAGATTACATATTATCATCTTAGAAATAGTTGTTCAAGTTACAAAATTGAAGCATATAAAGTGGACTTTCAAACAATGAGAGTGCAAACAGTTTTGTTCAATGATACAAAAAAACTCAGTAATATGGTTATCTATCTTATACATTTAAACATATATGCAGTTATAACCTTTAGAGCACTTTCTTTTCTTTTGTACAATGACAATTACACATTTTGGGTTTTATTACTCCCACAGTTCTTATTACTTTTTTTTGAAGAGAGTAAAACCAAATGCGACATATCAGAACAGAGTCAGTCAAATCAAAAGGATGGACATAATAGATAATGTAAAAACAAAATACAAGGTGATTGACAATGGTTACCACACTGCCTCTTGCTATTTTAGGAAGAATTGCCAGTTATAATAAAATTGAACAAAACAGAAAAAGAATAAAACCAAAGCATTGGAGACATTACAGGACTTTAAAAGAAGATAATAGTCAACTGGGGTGGGCGTGATAATGAATCTTACTGTCTTCACAGTTTTGCCTATACTTTCGAACTTGGTACTATCAAGCAAAGCAGAATAGGGGAAAATCAGTCAAAACAAGATGGTGAGGGCAATACAGGATTTCAAATTAAGTTAATAGGAAATCAAAGTAGGTTACTATAATGTATCCCTATTTTTTATTTATTTTTCCATTAATTAAAAAGATAAGAAAAAAGTAAATAAAAGGGAGGATTGAGATAAAAGAGGGCATAACAACAGAATAGCGCAGGTCAAAACATAACCATTTAAGCAAAATAGTGTTTCACCACAAGATATCCTGACATAAAAATAGTTACCATAGTGTCTTTCCTTGAAATCTTTGAGTATAACTTCGTATACTGTAGCACCAAACATATCAAGACACTATAAAACCATTCAAGAGAATGACATTATTACAGGCTATTTAGAACCAATTAACAGAAAATGAACAATGGGTTCTGTATAATCTCCTTGTCTATAAAAGTTTTTACTTATATTATCATATATAATAAACTCCAATAAGATACAACCTTTTAAGACCGATGGAGACAGAAGAATATAAGTTTGATGGGACTTCAAAACAAGATGATACTAAATCAGCACTAGCTATTATGATGTCTTGTTTTCTCCAAAATAGGTGTTCCTACCTTCCGATCTTCTCTGCCTCATTTCTGTTGAGCTCTTTTTCTGTCGTTTGTTGTCAGTTTGTCTTCTTCATTTTGCTTTCTGCTCCATTCATTGTGGCCTCTCTGTCACTATTTCTGGAATCTTGGTATTTTCCTTTTTTAGAATATCCTGCAGTATTAGGAAGCACTTTGTTTTTCCATCAATTTCTAGGGACAGTTGTGCAGGATATATCAATCTTGGCTAGAGGTTATTATCTTTCAAAGCTTGAATTATTTCCCCCCACGCTCTTCGTGATTTGTTGGATTTCTGGAATTTTGATTATGCCTCGTACATCTGAGTATCTTTACCATTTGCTAAATTAGGGAAATTCTCTTGGATTATTTCTGTGAATAGCTTTTGTAGTCCACTTGTTTGTGTCCCTATTTCTTCTTTTATGTTCTTAATTTCTTAAGTTATAGATCCTCTTATTAGCCTTTGTATTGTTGCTGTTTGTTTTTTTTGTTATTTTTAAGAATTTTTTCATTTCATGCTCCCATATTACAAATCTGCTCTCCAGTTCAGATAATCTATCCTTAATTTCTTTCAAGTTGTTATGCCAGTTTTTGATAGTTTTTAGTTTCCTGGTAATCTCTTTGAACCTGCTTCATGTATTCTATGTTTTCTCTATTTTCTCCATCAAACAATTCTCCCCTTTTTTTCTGTTCTTCCATTCCACTTTCTGTTTTTTCTTGGGCTGTGTTTAGCATTTCTCTAACTATTCTACTTATATCTTGCTGCAGGTCGTTAATAACTTCATTCCTGAACTCGTCTATGAGGCTCTGGAGATAGTGCTTTATGTCTATTGGTGCCGTGTCTGATATTGCATGTTTCTCAGGATTGGGGGCCGAGGACCCTTTCTTGTTGTTCACTCTTCCCATATTTTTTGTTCCTTTTATACAAGTGAATATAGGAGGCCCCGTTTCTTTCTTTGTCGGTTACAGTTTGTTTGAATTGCACCGGCTAGGTGTTCCCGCCCACTGCAGTGTACTAGGGAGAGAGACTTGGGCAGCCTCTGCTGGGCCCGCCCCTCAGGTCAACCTACTGAAGGCTTCACTGCTAGGGTGTACCTCCAGGCGCTGGGACCTAGTTTGGGCTAGCCTACTGGGTCTTAGTCAGTAGTGTCACACAGGCCAGGCACTCCCCACCAATCCCGCTTGAGAGGGGAATATGTGACTGAAGTCACTGCAACAACCTGTTCCGGCTAGTCTGCCCAGTCCCAGTATGTCCTTTGCTGAGGCCTCCTACTCTATAGAAGGGTCCCCGATCCGCTCACTCACCGCAGGTCGATGCAGGGCTCCTGGCCAGTCCCGCTCTCAACGCCATTCACCCACTCTCAGAACTTTCGTGCCTTTCTCCTTGCCATGCCATTTGGGACGCAGCAGCAGCTGCATGAAATTCAAATCACAGCTTCCAGTGGTGCAGGGTCCAGCTTCTGCGCTAAGACCATATCTGTTCCTGTTATATCACCGGGATTGCGTTTCCAGTTGGTTTCTCTTAGTTTAGTTCGTTCCTGAGTCGGCAAAGTATATCTCCCCTTGCTTAGGATTTCTTGCCCGGCACCATTCCTGGATTTTAAGTGCAGTTTCTCAGAGAGCCTCCAAAGCTGCTGCTATCTATCCGCCATGTTCTCCTGTAAGTCCCCTTAGCTTGTCTTAATTTGAAAGCTCCCTGATTATAAATCAAGTAACTATTCATACTATGTATGTGGAGTCACACTTGAAATAAGTATTAGCAGTTGACATCACCTGGACTTGTCTGAGGGACTATGAAGTAGGAAACTTAAGTACATATCTCCTAGACTTCTGCTGACTTTTCTCCTTTAGTGTACTTTCTCTAGGGGCTTATAAAATACTATCCCTTTATTTCTAAAACTAATAATTTCATAAATGATTGACATTCTTATCAAGGATTTAAAGTATTTTCTCAGGCATATAACTTAGAAAACATTATGGAGTGTTGACATTGTTTTTGGCAGATTTTTTAGTTTTTTTGGTGGAAAGGAAAATTAAGAGGTGGAGAGCTAAGTATTTAGCTTGTTCTTCTACCTGGAGACTGGACATTGTGATGGGGCTATATTAGGGAGCTAGTCAAGTTTATACTACTGTTGTAAAGAGAGATATTTCTAATGGTTAAGAAACGTAAGATGCATTTTCAAAATCCCTCATTTGGATTTATTTAGTACTTGTAATTTGGTTTATTTTGACTATAATAATATCATTTTCTTGTGCACTAAGTAAATTTGGGTGAGTTTAAACATGCTCCACTGCTTTAAAAAAAAAAAGCCCCGTTTTAAATTTATACATAAAGATCCCAGGTTTATAACTATGCTTAATGATGAATATTACCCTTTTGTTTTTTTCTAGGCTGTATTCATCACCAAAGAAAAAACTTACACCAATGCAGAAATCGGTTAGTCCATTAGTTTGGTGCAGGCAAGTTTTGGATTACCCAAGTCCTGATGTTGAATGTGCTAAAAAATCTCTTATCCACAAACTTGATCAAACCATGTCAGGTATGTCTATATTTTTACTTGCAAATTTATCTCTTTGCTTTCATTAGTCAAAGTAAAACAAAAAATTAAATATTGAGTGATAAATTCTTAGGAAGACAATTCCTTGCTTGCTAGCATTTTTCAGACCTCTTTATACATATCCTCATGAGAGCTGTTCAGTCATTTGCTTAATAGCTTTTTTAAAAATCTAATTTTTTGAAGCCTCATCCTAAGGGATAATACCCATGAAATTATAAATTTTTGTGTGACTTTTTTCTAGTGTAAATGAAAACAAAGTATTGAATAAAAATCATTTGACATCATCCAAAAGTCACCCAACATAGCACACTTTGGGGAAACTGATTGGGTCAAAAATACAAGTGAAGGACCAAAGAGACATTTTCCCATTCTAGCCCATAATTATTGTGTGACTTTTCACATTTTTTAACTTCTATGAGCTCATTTGTCTCATAAAAATGATAAACCTTTTGAAAAGTTATTTTAACAATTGAATAATGTGTATGTGAAAAGAGTCCAGCAAGTTCCCTGCCTCACAGTTAGTTGTTAAATGTACTTATTTCCTTTCCTCATTATGTTTCGTAGTTTGAGACAGGGTCTCACTCTGTAGTTCAGGTTGGCTTTAACTGACTATGTACCCCAGACTGGCCTTGAATGCATAGTGATCCTTTTACCTCAGCCTTCCGAATGCTGCAGTTCCATTTCTTGCTTTTATTTCATTATTGTCTTTCACTTGATAATTTAGGTTCAAACTGTTCTTACAGTTTTGTTTAATAGCATTCACAAAATGGATAAGAATGTATCTATGCCTATATTTTACATTTATTGTAGCTACTGTGATGGAAATGTAAGAAAAATGTTACTGGCTTTTTTGGTCACTTTTTTCAGTCTTTTTAAAAACTTACTGTTTTCTGAAATACAAAGGTAGTAAAGACTTGGATTTATTTGTTTGAGATAAGTTTGGCCTGCAGGCTACAGTTTACCAGCTCCTGGTTTGAAACTGCCAAAGGAAATAGGAGTTAAAACAGTCACCTGTTCTTGAGAGAAAAAGTAAAACTGTTATACCTCAAAAGAGCAAGTGGTTTTTTGCTCCATTATGACAAGAGTATTAAAGATTTTAGGGATATGTAAGTGAGGTATTTACTCATGAACCAAAACTAGTTGTAATCAAGTACTAGATCTGTTTAACAATGTTTAAATTGTATAGCTATATGTAGGGAGAACAATCATTACAGCCATAAACACATACAATTAACGTTTTTAAGGGAAAAAACAGTTTGACTGTTATATATTTGAATTTGTAGACCTAAAGCAATCTTTTTCCAAGGATACCGTCTTTTAAGTTTATTTTTTGATAAGGTAAAGCTGTGTGGGAACTTAGGTGTCGAATCCTAGAGTGATTACACCTGCGACGCTTAGGTTCTCTATAATATACTACTTATTCCTAACCTTTTCTGGTCCTTTTTTGTTTTTGTTGTTGTTGTTTTGTTTGGTTTTGCTTTTTTGAGACAGGATTTCACTATGCAGTTCAGGCTGGCTTTGGGCTCACTTTGTTGCCCAGGCTGGTCTCGAACTTGCTTGCAACTGGTCCTCCTGCCTCAGCCTCCCAAGTGCGGGGATCACAGGAGCGCGCCACCACACCCAGCTTTACTTTTCTTATATAATGCTTTATCTTTTTTTCCCTCTCATATCTTATGTACTGTTTTCTCTCCGCTTTGAGGAACTTCCAGTTCTTCTCATCTTTGTTGCTTTTTTGTTATTTGGTTGCTGCTGTTTCTTTTTTTTTGTTTTGTGTTGTGTTTTATGATACTGAAGGTGGAACACTGGTCAGGTACTGTCCACTGAGCTGTAACACATTCCCCATGTGGGTATTTTGTTGTTGTTGGGGGAGGGGGTTGGTAATAAAATTTATGTAGCATTAAATTTCCCATTTTCACCATTTTTAAATGTACAGTTGAGTGGCATTAAGTACATTCGCTTTGCTATGAAATTGTCACCATTGTTCTTCTGGATAGAGCTTTTCATCCTATGTGTGCTGAAATTTTATACTTGTGTTAAATAATAACTTCCCATTCCCTCTATCAACCTTCTGACAGTCTTTTCCGTGTAAGCCGTCCCTATCTTTTGCTTCATATCTCTGTCTTGCTTAATCTACTTATGTGGTGCCCAGAATCATCTATATTCAAATTAATCTCATACAGTAATTCATGTATTTAATTAATGTTTATTAGAGGTTGTTACGTATTAGGCTTTGAGAAAAGGATGGGGGCATCTGATGAGGAAAAACAAACACTGGTGTACCTCTACTACTGAAGTTTATCACCTAGCAGGAGAAATTTACTAATATAAATAATCTTTAGAATTGTTTTGTTGTTGTGTGAGAGTCTCACTATGCAGTTCAGGCTGGCCTTGAAATCACTGTGGAGCTAGCTGACCTCAAACTTGCAGCCATCCTCCAGCCTCAGGCTTGTGAGTGCTGGGTTAGAGGTATGCACCACTAAGCCTGGCAAGCTTTATAATTGATGGAATGAAGTGAGAGAATGGTGTATAGTGCTTTGAGCTTTGAGCTATAACAGAAGAGGGATTGACCTGATCCCTAATGATTCAGATAAATTTAGGGTAGGAGAAAGTAGAAGTTGGGCTTTTCAGGTAGAGAGAACAGCATGTGCGAAGACTGGAAGAGAGCATAGTGTATGTGAGACCTGGGACAAGCTAGAGTGACTGGATTAAAAAAGAGACTTGTGACATAGGGTCAGGAAGATATGTGGGAGCCAGACTCTTACACAGACAGGCCTGATTAAATTTTAACTTCATTGTAAGAGTATAAGGAAAATATGAAAGCTTTGTAAAGGAGTATGTTGTGGTGGGAAGGCATAATTGGATTTGTATTTTGGAAAGGTCATGATGGCATGGTAGTTGTATGGAGTGCAGTTGGAGAGGTCAAGATGTATGGTGATTTGTGAAGCACTAATGAGGATGGCCAGGCTGCTGTGTGTTCGGAAGTGTAGGACAAAGCAAGCCAGTTTCCTTCACTGTCACCCACAACAGTCTCAATGTGTGGGATTCTCTCTCCACTCAGCTAGCACCATTCAGTTCCGCAGCACACCTCACTTGGGCTCCCTCTAATTCAGTTCAGCTCAGTTCAGTTTTGATATTATCTTCCAGAGGCAGCATCATATCCCATGGATTTAGTTAGCCCCAGTCTCCACTTTAGGTGCCAGTCTCTAGTCCCAGGTCATTCTGTTTCTGACTGATCAGCCATCATCAGTAATGGGTTCCCATTACGCCTTCTTGATTTCTGTTAATTTGCTAGAATAGGTCACAGAACTCACGGATATACTTAGGCTTACCTGTTTATGATAGAAGATATTGAAAATATACAGATGAAGAGATGCACAGAGAGAGCTCATAGCCCCTTCCAATGCCTTCCAGGCCTAACACCCTCCAGAAAGCACCACATGGTCAGCTACTTGGAAATTCTCTAAAGCTCTTCTTTGGTGTTTTTGTAGAGAATTCATTACATAGGCATGATTGAAGCATGGGCAATTATGCTCAAGTATGATTGGACAGAAAATATGATGTAGTGCCGATAGCCTATGTTTATAAGGTAGGAAAAGCTAGCAAGGCACTGCTTCTGAAGTAGGAGTTGAATGACCTGTCAGACCCTTAGTCAGAGAATTATGACCAGCTCCTATAGAGAAAGGCAGGGAAAGATTAGAGATTCTGTGACCTGCCTCAAGGAAGAGAAATTCTGGTTTCTACAGCCTACATTGGAGAGGGAGTTACAAGCCAGCAGTAATGCATGAAAACCAAAAAAATAATGTAGTATTTCTGAGGGAAAGGTACTCGATTTTATGAAAAGATAACGGTAATAGAAAGGAATCAAGGGCTAGGGATATAGCTGAGTGGCACAAACACCTGCCTGGCAAGTGTAAGGTCCTGAGTTCAATTGTGGGCACAATCAATCAATAAATGAATAATTACGAAGAAAGTATCTACAGTGGTTTCTAGGTTTCCAGTTTCTGAGACAGGGATGAATGTTAATATTCTAGGAGGAACCCTCAAGAGAATTGGATTTTAGCAGAAAGATCCTAAATTGAATTTGGTATGTGAATTCTTGGACACATTTGCCACATCCACAGGGAAGTAATGTATATGGGACTGGAGTTCAAAAGGAAATTTAGGACTGGAAATAGAAATAATGGGGAGTCTTTGACATATTAATGCTAAGTTATGTCATGTATATGTTTGAGAACTGGCAGAAAGCATATAGCATAGAGTAAGGTGATAAAAGGGTTAAGGGCTTGAAATGTTAGGAATTGATAACCAAGTATAAGATAAGCTCCAGTGGAGATTGAAAATAAAGTGATAACATGAATAGTCTGCCCAGCTTATACCTGTAATCATACTGCATAATGTATACTAAATATATAAAAAAGTGCTGTCTTACCTCATGGAGAATATGTATATAGTCACGTGGTCCAAACTAAATAGAAAACATGTGTTCCTTCTCTAAACCACTATGGTAGTAGGCAAACCAGAAACTTTAGCCATCTGATTTTATTTCTTACTTTTTCTAGCTGTCTGCATTTTTTCTTTTTCTAATTTTCCAGTCACTGTATACTTCCTAGTATAGTCACACTTTTTCTCCCTAAACTGATTGGATCACGTTACTCTTCCTCCTCAGAAGTCATCGATGGCTGCATCATTGCAACTAAACAGATACTGGACTCCTAGACATGGTGTTTTAGGCCTCTAGTGACCTTTTCTTGTGTTGTCCCTATCCTGTGTTTCACCGTGCTAGATCACTCCCTCTTACTCCCAGGCAGGCTCTATCTTAAAAATGCAGGTGATTGCATTACAAACGCAGGTAACAGCAGTTGTGTGCCTGTCCTTTGTTTTAGGGACAAACTACTGCTCAGCCTCTAAGGCTGTGCAATTTCTGTCCCCCTCCTAGTATCCTTACACAGTTTGTCAGTTGTAATGAATACTTTCTGTAACGCTTTGCATCTTTATGGTCATACTTGGCTGCATTCCTCTTAACACAAAGCACCACGTTATGTTTGTCTGTATATTTTATCCAGTGTTTTTTGGCACATGTCTGAATCACAGCACTTGGGAGGCTGAGGCAGGAAGATTGCTGTGAATTGAGCCTGAACTGCATATGGAAACCCTATCTCAAAAAAAAAAGGAAGAAAGAAAGAAAGGAAAACACAAATTTTAAAGTTTCTATGCAGTTGCTTTTGCCTATGCTTGTAAATATTGATTAAGCTGTGGATATTAGAATAAGTTGGGCAGAAGAAATGTCAAAATATATTAATATATAATTTCATTTTTTACCTTAGCTCTACTATTGTACTTAATGATATGCTAGTACTCTTTTAAAAAGGGAAGTTGGGGTTCTTTTTAAAAAAGGAGTTCTAGGGGCTGGGAATTTAGCTCAGCGATATAAGCACCTGCCTTGCAAGCAGGCAGTCGTGAGTTCGATCCCCGGTACCGATAAAAAGGAAAAAGACAAAAAAAATAAAAAAATAAAAAAAAATAAAAAAATAAAAAAGGAGTTCTCCCTTATTTTGACTTTCACAGTTACCATTGCTTCATCTTTTCAAATATGCAAATTTTGGAAAGGCTTTTTAAAAAAAACTTCATTTCTAATTTGCTTAAAGAAAATTGAGAAAATGTTTTTATTTTTGATTCGTTTTTAAAGTTCAACCACAATTGATAGAATAGTTATTAATGAATAAACTTTCCAGCAAGGTACAAATGGATTAATTTAATGGCAGATACTCTGTTTTTTAGGAATATTTTTCCTATATTATTATCATTATTATTATTATTTTGGAGTGACTGCTGATTTATTTGTATAACACAGTTTAGCACAGTTTAAGATAATGAAAATCATGTTGTTGGGATTATTAATACCATATATTTTTCCTTGTAGTGCAAAATATTTAAACTGAGATAATGACTTAATGACATCTCATAGAAAAAATTTTGAGATATTGTTAACTTTTCCTGAATGATTAAACTTGATTTTTCCTTTTCTCATTAATGTAGCTCTCAAGAGGCAGAATTTGTACAATAATTCTTTCAACTCTGTGAGTTACACAAGTCCTTACAGTCCAAATGCCAGTAGCCCATATAGCAGTGGCTTCAATTCTCCATCTTCAACCCCAGTGCGACCTCCGATAGTCAAACAGCTTATACTTCCTGGAAATTCAGGTAAGGAGAAAACAAGTGGGATTACTAAGAAATGGTGTTTAATTTACCCCCTACTTCAAAAAATACCTTACTAGTATAACTCCGATTCATTTTGTGTATGAAATTTTTAACTAGATAGAGCATTGAGATGGTAAGAATGAGCTTTAGCGATACAAACAGCCTGCCACAGCACATGTGCTATGGTTCCCACCACTGTGATACTCTTTAGGAGTCGCTTTGCACCAGGTGGTGTACCACACGCACAGAGTGCAAAGGTAAGTTAGTAGGTCATATCCATACAGTTTTCTTTAGTATTTTGAACCTTTCAATCCTGTTTAATGAAATGGTATTACACCCTTGATCCTTAATCAGTGTGTCCTTATTGAACATTGTGTATCAGATGTAAAGCTACGTTGCTATGAACTTTTTAAAAGGAGTTTTAACAAGCTTTGATATTGCAGGTAAGTAAAAGTATATTATGTGAATGTGCCAAAAGAGGGATGGGTGATGTAAGTGATTGCCCCAAGCTGAGTAAAGTAAGTTCTGTTCTGGTTCTGCAGTTGACACTTCCTGTGTAGCTCTCTTCTTTATGACTTACCCATTCAGTTACTTATATTGCTACTATTATTACCATTCATTCATAGAGCGTCCTTAAAAGTTAAGGTGGTGTTAAACAACACCTTTAGAGTTTTTTTTTACTTAAGTCTATGCTCCCTAACTTTCTTTAGTGTAATGACTTTATTGACCCTGCTCACTGCTTAGTATATAAGTTTTTATTTACTACATATTTTACCTAAAGTAGTATCACATTAAAAATTATGATCTGTAATATTTGTTTAAAAAAATTTGACTCAGCTATTCCTTAGGCATCACTTTGTGGTACCTTTCCTATCATATGCTGTCCTTTCATTGATAATATAAATGTTAATTATTTTTATTCTTCTTGCTCTCCTTACATGCCTTTCATGTTGGAGCTGACTTTCATGGTGAAAAATTCTGGAAAACAAATGTTTTATATATCTATGTTAGAAGTATTAGTGTCATTGTTGGGATTTTATGATTATTTCTTTAGAAACAAGTTACGATACTTTTAGATATATGTGTTATTTATTCCTCTGACCTGTTTTGCCTTTTTATTTAAAAAAAAGATAAAGTGGTTTTTAAAATCTAGTCATTTTCTTTACTTTTTTGCATTGTAAGCAAACACTGTACCACTGAGCTATACATACCAGCCTTTTTTGGAAGGAGGCGCCAGAATTCACTCAGGACCTTGTTCTTGCCAGGCAGGCGCTTGTACTGCTGAACTGTATCTCTGGCTCCTCTATCAGTCCCCGCCCTACCTTTTTTTGAAATGGGACCAAACTTGCGACCTTGCACTTGCCAGGCAGGTGCTTATGCTGCTGAGCTAAGTCCCTGGCCATCTATCAGCCTTTTTAAATAAAATTTGGGACAGGGTCTTGCCAAGTTTCCCATCATAGCCTTAAATTTGTGGTCCTCTTGGCTCAGCCCCAGAGTAACTGGAATCATAGGCTTACCTCCATCTCTTGTGCTTCACTACTAAAAGCCAGAACTCCTTGGATCTCGATTACTAATCTGGCACTATGTTAAAAGTTTGATTGCTAAATACAAGCCTAAGTAAATTATACTTGAATGAAAAAGTGCTCTGTGTTCATGTCATCATATATAAAGAAGTTTCTATAAACCTGTTTTTCCTTTGTGAGGTCAATTTCCAATTTCAGAGAAGCTCTCCAGTTTGGAGAGTTTATAAACATAGCATAATACTGATGAACTGAATCAATTATCCAGTTAATTATAACAGATGTTTATTTAACTTTTATCTTACTAAAGTTTGGATTTTTGTCTCTTTTTAGGTAACTTCAGAAGTTCATCAGACAGAAACCCTCCTCTCAGTCCTCAATCCTCTATAGATAGTGAGTTAAGTGCTTCAGAATTAGATGAAGATTCAATTGGATCCAATTATAAGCTAAACGATGTAACCGATGTGCAGATTCTAGCCCGAATGCAAGAAGAAAGTAAGTGTTTCAGTTGTTAAAGGTTGAAATTTTCACTACTGTGTATATTTGTATATACATTGAACGTGTCTTAAAGTATTGTGGGAGTAATATGGTGAAAGGAGAAATGTTGAAATGAGCAGTTCAGAGGTTGGTCAAATGTTCTTGTTCATTTACTGTTTTCAGTGTGCTTTTTACACAGGGCAGTTTTGCCTCCCAAGAGGTTTAGCTTCTATGGGTGTATCTAGACTCTGTATGTTACTTTGTGTTGACACTTACTGGTGCAATGATTACACTGTCTTTAGTGTAAATCAGTGTTACTTAACCTCTTTGTTACTGCTTTCCTAAAGAGTCTTTCTGTTTTTCATCTACCCTTCCCCCATGACATTTTTTAGTCTTTTTGAGATGGGGGTCTCACTAAGCAGTTCAAGGGTAGGTTGTAACCTGAACTTCGTAGCCCAGGCTGGTTTTGGATTCCCATGATCCTCCTATCTCAGCCTCCCACTTGCTGGAATTGCAGGTAGGAGCCACCACACCCAGCCTTCCTCATGAAATTAGGCCTGGCGTGGTGGCTCACACCTGTAATCCCAGAGGCAGGAGGATCATTGGTGAGTTTGACACTAGCCTGGGCTACAAAGTGAGCTCAAGGCCAGCCTGAACTGCATAGCGAGACCCTGTCTCAAAAAGACAGAAAACAATCTTTTAATATCGCAGATAAACTCTTTAAATATTATGAATTAATATATCTTAAGAGTTGTCTCATACTTCAAAAACCAATTTGTGTCTTTTTGATGACAAATCTGACTTCTCTTACAAATGTACAAATATAAAAAAAGACCCTTATGAGAAAATTAGAATTGTGACATAAAATAAAGCATGAGACGATGCTTTGCAGCGTGGTTTTTGAAACTTTTAAGGGCACATTTATTTCTGAAAATCCAGTAAAAATGATTGCTTCTGCCATCCCTAAAATATACATAGGCACAAAATTTTTCATAATTTTTTGGGGGACTCATGAATACTTTGCCTTCATTTGCACATAAGATGCTGATGGTGATTTTTTTTGCCTATGTATTTTATAAGATGTCATACAGTACTGTGAAGAAAAAAAAGTTTTTGTTTTATTCTTCTTCTTTTTCTTTTTGGTTACGGGGAATCAAATTGAAGAACTTGTGCTTGCTAGGAACGCACTGTGCTGCTGAGCTATATTCCTACCCCCCCCAAAATGTTTTTAAAGTGACCTTTAACCTTTTGAAATACACATTTTTGAGTCTTGACAATTTGCTGAGCGAAATGGAACATTGTTAAAATTTGGTTGAAAAACTTCCAGTCCGTGTGGATAATGGGTCCTTTCTTTGTACAGTAGGCTTTATCAAGCTACGATGTTTAAGAAACTGCAACATGTTACTTACACTGCTGATTCATTTCCCATTTAAAGGCAGCTTCCCCTGGACAGATGGGAGAAGGACTTAATCTTTCTTTATTTCTTGTCATACCTAAAAAATTGTTGGCATGGTCTCTCTTCTGTAATTTTATGGAACTTGATTGATTGTGTTCTGTTTTCAGCTATTATTCGTGGTTGTGAAAGGGAGACATAAAAAAGAATGTTAAGTCTTTGCCATAGAATAAATTCACTCATTTCTTCTTTGAACTCTTAACTTTTTAGAGCCTATGATTTTGTTAAAGTTCAAACAACTATTTACTTTAACTTCCATCTTGTGTTTTGGTAAATGTTAGAAATTTTGGCCTCACTGTAGTTTAGTGACCTTCCTAAGCCATCTACTTGCATGAATATTTATTTCTTGGTTGAATGAAAAGAAAGGTAGTGGGTGGGAATATGGCTTAGTGGCACAAAGCCTGCCTGGCAAGCATGAGGGAGGTCCTGAATTTGATTCTTGGTGCAAATAAATAAATAAATGGATGGATGGATGGATAGATGGATAGAAGGGGAGGTAAAGAAAAGAAAAGAAAAAAGAGAGAAAAAGGATGGTGCCAAAAATATATGGGATCCTTCCTTGAACATGACACACATGATCCACTGGACAGATGGGAAATGATTTTCAGAGATGGTTTTGTTTTTTATAGCATAATTCTTCTAGGGCTTCTGCAACAATTAGAAATATAGAATTATATATTTAGGGTCTAGCCTGGTCAAGCTCCCTCATGTTTTAAATAAATGCAAAACTTGAGTAGGGGTTGTAGCTTGCTTATTCTGGTCTCCTTGTATGTGGAGAGCCTACATTGGGATCTGGATTTTCTTTTCTGGAACAATGATGTTTTACAGGCCTGTTGTCTTTTATTAGATGCCATTAGTGTCATATTTGCTATAACTAAACACTAAGTAACTCTGAGTTACTACTGTGGTTCCTAAACCTGACTGAAAGGCTAAATGGACCCAGGAGTTATTAGTGATTGTTTTATATGTTTAAAAGGCTGAGATTGAATTGAAGCCCACATGCACACCAGGCATGTACTCTACCAGTGAACTGCATCTCCCAGGAGTTGATACTCTTAAAGATACCCAAGGGTAATTCTAATCTAGTTTATGAAGCCTTGTTAGATAGCACTTTCTATGTATAAATATATGACTTAAAGGCTTGAATATCACTATAACATCCATATTCCTGGATTGTCAGTAGTTAGCAGGAGTGCTCAAAATATTACCTAGATTCTGGTATGTTGTTATATTTTTAATCCAAAGCTTAAGTATCCAAGGAATTTATTTGCTTACTGATATATTCTATACTTTTAATGTTAATCTCAGATCTGATTTCACATTTGAGAAAACCTTGAGATTGTATAAAAGTTTACTGATTTTTGTTTAGTTTTAAAATAACCTTCAGGGACCAGAGATTTAGCTAAGCAGCACAAGTTTCTGCATGGCATGTACAAGGTTGTGAGTTCAATTTCTGGCACCAAAAATAAAATAAAATAAAATAACCTTCAGATTTGATGTATGCATCCTCATGTGGGAGAGTATTTAAAAGTAGAAGCAGAGTTTTCTTTTATGCTTTATATCTTACTTGAAATTCTCAGTTGGTAGTCTTTACTCTTAAATTTTTAAAATATTTATGTTTAAAAATATTAAGAAATAAAATAACACACTCATTGTTGCCAGGTCTTCGGCAAGAATATGCAGCCACCACCTCTCGGCGCAGTTCTGGTTCATCTTGCAATTCGACAAGACGGGGTACATTTAGTGACCAGGAACTTGATGCACAAAGTTTAGATGATGAAGATGACACTATGCATCATGCAGTATACCCTGCTGTTAACAGGTTTTCACCATCACCACGCAATTCACCTCGACCATCACCTAAGCAGTCACCCAGAAATTCACCTCGTTCACGGTCTCCAGCTCGGGGAATAGAATATAGTAGAGTATCCCCACAGCCCATGATTAGCCGCTTACAGCAGCCTCGCCTTTCCCTTCAAGGTCATCCCACAGATTTACAGACTAGCAATGTTAAAAATGAAGGTAAAACATAGCAGATTTTATAGCCAGAATATTTTTGGAAAAAATTAGCCTTCATAATTCAGTGTGAAAGGAACAGTTTTGGCAGGGTTTTATATATCAGATAAGTAAATAATCAAGTTTACCGTTTTATTAATAATTTATCAGTGCAAAAGGAAGAAGTAAATTTAACTTTACTTGGTTAGGTTAATTTTGCTTTAATTTACTCATGGAGCAAATTTTATATTTAAATAATATAGTTTGTAGTTGTCTTAAGGGTTTTCTATCAATAAACTGGGTTAATTTTTTTAAAAAGTACTTCGTGTTTTTCTCTTGTATAATATGTAGAATGTTTAATTTTGTTTTTGAATTCTAATTGATATTTTTATTTTCTCTTCTGAAAGAATGGCTTTTTTAAAATTAAAATTCTATTGTTGTAGAAAAACTTAGACGCAGTCTTCCAAACCTGTCCCGAACATCTAATACACAAGTTGACTCTGTGAAAAGCAGCAGAAGTGATTCAAATTTTCAAGTGCCAAATGGAGGAATACCTCGCATGCAATCTCAGGCTTCAGCCAGTAAGTATCTTTCTTAACTGGAGGTATCAATTAACAGCAAATGAAAATTACAGATAATTACTTCTACCTCAACAATTGTGTTAAACTCTTGTAATAAGGTTATCATACTGTATTCAAAATTAAATTTATCCCTACAAATATATCCAGTTCTATCATTAGGTTCAAGTGTATGAAACTTCGGTCTGCGTAGATTTTTAAAATATGCTAGGTCTTTTTTTAAAAAGATAGATTTAGCCTTCACTTATAAAAATTAAAAGTGGAAATAGTAGCCACAATGCTATCCAAATATAGATCCCATTTTCTTTTAAAATATCTAGAGCGGAGGATATAGCTCAGTGGTAGAATGCTTATGAAGCATGTATGAGACCTGGGTTCAATCCCAAGCAACCCTACAAAAATATAAAGCTTGTAATTGTATGTTTTAGAGCACATTATATAAAAATCAGCAATTCACTGGTTAAACTTGTATTCTGTACCAGAATTGAATTTTTGTAGCTTTTCATTATAAAACAAAAATATATTATGAGGACTTAGATAACGTTACTTTATTTCTGTATCGTCAGAAAATTTAGGGACTTCATTTATTTCTATGACTGTTAGAAAAATACGTCTTAATCACAGTGGCAGATTAATTCATATTTATGTAACTTTTTAAAGATGAAAATTTGAGATAAATTGCCAGAAACAATCATTCTTTAAGAGTTGATCAGTATTGGGCCAGGGATATATCTCAGGAACACAGCACCTGCCTGGCAAGTACAAGGTCCTGAGCTCAATTCCTGGTACTAAAAAAAATTAAAAACAGTTGAAGTATTTCTATATTTAAATTATGCTTTGAAAATAAATATTTAAAGTTTAAACCCAAATAGAGAAAATGGATTTGGAAATATTTTTAAAAATACATGTAGATCTGGGCATGGTGGCACACGCCCATAATCCAAGCATTCAGAAGGCTGAGGCAGGGAGATTGCTGTGAGTTAGAGGCCAGCCTGGACTACATAGTGAGTTCAAGGCCAGTCTAGGATATATAGTGAGACCCTGTCTCAAAAACAAAAAATGAAAACACATGTAGATTTTAATTTTTATATTTGATGATTAGATGGATGCTGATTCATGAATGTGACAAGTCTTTCTAAATGGAAGTAGTACTTTTTTCAACTGTTATTTTTAACAACTCTTTGAGTTATTTAATAACAAGTAGTATGTTAAATAAACGATTATTTAGGGCCAGAGACAATTTAGCGGCATAAAGCCCTACCTGGCAAGTGGGACGTCGTAAGTTTGTTTCCCAGTACCCAGAAAAAAAAAATTATTTAATTAGAGCACAACATATGCATTAGTAAAAGCACCAGAACACGTAAGACATGTTGTCCTTGAGGAATAAAATAAATATAGGAAATGCAGGACTTCATTTTTTAAAAAGTGAGCTTAAGGTAACAATGGAAAGAAGGGATGATACTAGTGAATTCAGGAGTTATATACAATATAAACAGAGATAAGAGAAAATTATGTAGTACAAAGTTGTAAGACAAACTGGCCAAATTAAGCAAAAAAGAAACTATAAAGTATATACATTATGTATGCTGCAAAGTGATTTAAAATTGAACATTTCAAAAAATTTTTACTTGTTAACTAAGAAACATGAGTATGTAATAGAATCAATTTTGAATACATAATTAGTTACTTCTGTGATTGTATCAATGCTGAGTACACATCTCTTGTGTCTCTCAGGTCACGTGAGTCCTGTACTTGGGTTATCAGGTACGAGGCGTGCACGCTCGCTCAGATCCTTGTGGCATATTGCCATCAGTGGTTGAATGGTAAATGTAATGTGTTCCTTCTTGTCTTCAAGACTATAAAGAAATGATAAATCGGAGGTTATTGACTGGTGTGTTTATTTATAAATCATTTATTGAGTAATAAAATTTTGAAAATAATCTAATTTTTTAATTCCTCTGGAGTCTTCCTTGGCTCTATTATTAAGCTGGCTTCATTACTTTTTATTAAGCTACTGTCACTTAGTGGCTCAAAAATCAACAGGCTAGGGTTGAAAAGCATGAATAACAGAGGCAGAGTACATTCCACATATTTGTGAGGCTCTGGGTTTCATTCCTAGTATCACCAAAAAAAAAAAAAACGCTATCCAGAGCTATACTTGAATCTAAGTAACTTCTGTAGTGTGGTGACAAATCTGCCTCATTTACCATTTTATATAATTGTATTACAGAAATTTACATTATATGTATTTATATATGTAGTGTTATTTAATCAGAACAAATTTATGATGGAGGTACAATTACTAACATGTTTTGAAAGTTAGAGGCTTTGACTAGTTAATATCTATAGTTATACATACATCTTAGAAGTGGCAATTAGGTTTGAAGGCTTGGTGATCCAACTTGAGAGTCTGAGCTGATCTATAGAGATTTGTTGCATCCGTGATTTAGTACAAAGATACATAAAAATTACCTAGATATATACTTTCTGTATTTCCTGAGATTTAAAACTATAAGTTTTAAAGCACTATGGAAAATTACCTAGAGGTTTATCTATCTCATTAATTCTGCTAAATATATAACACATGTTTTTCTACCAAATTGTAAACTTAGGATGTCATGTATTACGGAATTGATATTGCAAACAATAATCAAGAATATCATACTCATTATATTACTCAAAGAAAGTATAGGATATATGAATTCAAAAAATTTTAAAAGTGAAATTAAGGATAGAATTTTAACTTTTATCGCTGAGGTGGTGAGTGGTAGGTTTTTACCTTTAGATTTAAAGGCTCAAACAGGATCATGAGTTTGAGGCCAGTCTGGGCAACTTATCAGTTTAGCAGAGCTAAAAGGGTTATAAGGCTGTAGCATAGTGTGAAGGCCCTAAATTCAATGCCCATTAAAAAAACAAACGAGTTGGGGCTGGGGATTTAGCTCAGCGGCATAAGCACCTGCCTTGCAAGCAGGCGGTCGTGAGTTCGATCCCTGGTACCGGTAAAAATGAAAAAGACAAAAAAAAAAAAAAAAAACGAGTTAACATTAATTTGGTATTTGAGTTCTATTCTTGAGTGTTTTCTCCCCAATATGCTCAGGTGATACAAAAGACCCCCAATGTTTAAATCAATAGTAAAAGAATTCTTGAATCACGAAGATTAATAAAACGTATGTATAAGCCATAATTTTATGTCATCTGTACAGATGGTGAAGCAAGGTTGTAGTTTGCTTCCAAGAGTATATTGTCATTGATAAAATCAGCCAGATCTGTATGCTGTTGGCCTCATTCCATTACTGTCAGCACCAGTCTTTTCAGGGTGGTTCTCTCACCCCTTTATACGTGCTCTTTATTGGAACTATTTTAGCATCTGAAGCTTATGGCAGTGGAGAATAATTCTTGATGAAGGGAGAAGACAAGTGAAAAATTGGTCACCTCAGAGAAGATGTTAATAGAAAAACATTTTAGTTATATATTCAAGTTTATAATAATTACTTGCTTTCTCTAGAGGTAAAATTGTCATGTATAATCACCTACTGATTTTCTAAACAAATGTTTATGTAGGTGAATTTTCTCTTTTACCCTAGAAGTTGATAATTAAAGTATATATGGAAAATATGATATTCTAATCTTGAATTTACTTTTTTGTGGAAAACCATATACAGATTCATAAAGTTGTATAGAATAATTGAATGATACATAGAAAAGTTAATGTACCATCCTTTTCAATTATATATACTTGCTTATTTTTATATTTGTAGCTTTATAGATTTATTTATAGTTTAAAATATCAAAAATAAAATATTTTTTCTAATATAGAACTATATAACGTTCAAAAATCTAGAAAGTAGAAAATCTGAAATATTATCAAGCTTAGAACTTCAGTTTATGAAAATACTGAAATTTTTGTTTAAAGTCAACATATCAAACAAAAAACGTTTTTCTTGAAATTGTTCATAAATCTGATACATAAAAGTATATGCTCTTTTAATTAGTACATACATTGTTGTCACATTAACCTTTTAAAAATGATATGTAATTATGTGCAATGTAGCAAGTTTCATCCATTTATACAGAGGATTGGTGTTTTGTATTTTTTATGTAAACTTTGGTTATTAGTATAATAGATGTTGCATCTTGTTTCCTTTTAAGTATTTATTTTTCCAACTATAAGTGGTGAAGCTTTGGTTCTTTCTTGCTGGTGTGCATGAAGCTAACTTTGCAAATTTGCTTATTTCCACCTTCAGGACCACTTCTTTTGCTTTGTTACTATGCCATTCACTATTTTTATATGCTTACTTGCCGTGGCTGCATTATTGTGGATGCTGGCTTTCAGTTATGAGTATTATGAGAATTCTAATATATTTTCAACTTGTATTTTCGATTTTCAAATTTTATATTTAGAAAATGTAACTTAAAAAGCTTAAGAAAACCAGAGCAATTGGTGGCACATACTTGGAATCCCAGCTCTCAAGAGACTGAGGCAGAACAGTTGCGAGTTTGAGGCTACAGAATGAGTTCAAGGCCAACCTGAATTACATAGTGAAGCTTTGTTTCAAAAAGACAAAGAGAAACCAGAGGATTGTAGAAGTCATGGTTCCAGGTCATGTTCTCAGGTTTTTTGTTGTTTAAGAGAAAGAATTTAAGAGTGCTTCAAAAGACTCATAGCTTGCTAAGACTGCTTGACCACAGACTTAATAGAAAGTTTTAGTTTTCAGAAAAACATGGACTTATTGACCCATAAATAAAGTAAAGGAAGAGAAAACAAGACAATTGACTGATTTTTAAAAATACCTAAATTTCGGTTAGTATTTTAATATTCTTAAAAGTACTTCCACATGTATTTTCTCACTTGAACCTTATAAATATTCATTTATTTTATCAAAAAGTAGCAAAGAGCCAGGTGTGGTGGCTCATGCCTATAATCCCAGCACTTGGGAGGCTGAGGTAGGAGGATCATTGCAAGTTCAAGACCAGCCTGGGAAAGTGAGCTCAAGGCCAGCCTGAACTACATAGCGAGACCCCATCTCAAAAAAGACCAAAAAAAAAGTAGCAAAGACCCATACAAATCATATGAATTATAAGTCATATAAGTAGAAAAGTGGCATAATCAAGGCCAAATTACTCCTTCTTCCCAAAACTCCCTGAAACTCCTGATTCCTATCCATCATTGTTTGGATTAAATCATAATGAATTAATTACAAATGAGTAGGCCTCTTGAGAAACATTCATGGACTTTTTTTGAAACTTGGTTTGAGATTAAACCTTAAATAGCCCAGAGAAAAATTTCATAGGCGCAGTATTCTACTGTAGATCTCACACCGAAGGGGGCAAGTAACTGTTGCAGTCTTCAGCTTATGCATAGCCAGGTCCACAAGGAAGGAGACACTAAGAAATTACACATGAATTTTACATGATTGTGAAGTATTGATTGAAATCATACTACATATACTAACTGTATAGCAGACTGAGTTATAGAATATCAGTTAAAGAATATGTTGCACAGTGATGGTGGGTCAGTAATGTAATTATAAGGAGATTTTATAATTGTTTTTGGTTTTTACTCCTGAACATTTGGATTGACTAGACCTGGGGTAGAGACCTAGAATCTCGTTTTTCAGAAGTATCTCAGTTGTTTGGGGGACATACCCAAGTTTGAGAACCACTTATTTGGGACTTGACTTTGAAAGACCTTGAATGCTTGGTTTAGATCTCTAGATTTTGTACAATGATTAGTCACTTATGTGTCCCTTATTTGGTAGATATGTGTTTGGGTGTGGGTGTGATACCACTCCAGCCTTGCTAATATGAATATAAGACAGGTTGTGGTTTCCAATAGGCAAGAATTTCTTTAGGATTACAGGATTATTCTTTACTCAACAGTGTGAAGGATTTCCAGCAAAGATGTTAGAAGATACCTCAGCCAGCGTAGGAGGAGCTTATGTTCATTGACAAATGAGGAAAGAATGTATAGATAATCCCAACAGGGGCACCAATTAGGAAGTCTGGAGAGGCAGCCTGTGACTGAAGTGCAGTGCAAAATGTGATGAGAGACAGTGATACAGGAAGCAATGATACGGGAATGAGAAGGGAATAAATGAACAGATAGAGCATACTAAGGAATTTGAATTTCAGCCTCGGGGTATTAGGAGCCATGATGGGCTTTTAATCAAGGTTCTGTCGTAGATTTATTCTGATAGTAATATGGAGAGTGAACTAAAATGAAGAGACATTAGAACCACTTAAATGGTTATTGCATAATCTTGGCAAGTAGTGAAGAGCCAAAAGGGGGGCAGTCGTAAAGAATGATAAAATTATATGTGGTTTTTTCAAAAAATAAGTGGAAGATATATGATTTGGTCACACTGAGAAAATTAGTGGCAAGTGACACAGTATCAAAGGATGACTGCATGAGAATTTGTAAGCAATAAAAGGTTTTAAACAAAATATCATGGGTAGGAAAACCAGGGCTATCTACCTAGCAGTTAACACTCATTAATAACAGGCTATACTTTTGTAGTTAGCACCTGGAGATTATTTTAACATCTCTTCTCTATGACAAAACTGTGTTCAATAATAATAATAATGAAATGTGTAAAGTAGTAGGCCAGGAAAAAAAGCCCAACATGGAAAATATTTCTGCTGAGTTTTGTGTTTTTAACTGTAAGTAAAAAAAAAAAAAAAAAAAAAAAATTTCTGCAGTACAAAAAGAATAATGATGATGGGATATTAAATTTACATTGAACTTTTTGTAAGTAAGGAACAATATTTTTTACATATTGATCTACTGTAATGAAATCACTTTAGCTTCTGAAAAATTGTCAGAATTCAAAATTTACTTTCTTTTAATACTGAGGTTCAACCACTAGTCAGATTTATCAGTCTATCTTCAGTCATATTTGATGAAAGAACATCATCTTTATAATTTTGAAAGGTTTTTTTCCTCATAAAGCAACTGATATGCAAATATGGAAAAACTTTAACAGAACAATAAATTGCAAGATGTAAAGAATCCTGTTTTTTACAGTAAACTCTAAAATTTGATATATTGTCCAAGCTATTATCTTGAGCATCAAATTCAAGCTCAGAGTTACAAATAATGACAGAAATAAGATAACTCATGTTCTTTTTCATTGACTTTACAATTGTTGTACCATCATTGCTTATTTCTAATAAGTCTAAACTTAACTAATACATACCATAGCATGGGAGGCACAATCTGCTACAGTAATCTTGTGTTATTTCAAACCATTGTGAGTGTCACACTTAAAAGAAATATGCATCTGAACCTAGTCTTTTACTGAGCATTCTCTTCATTTTCATATGAAATAGTGTTTATTAAGGGACAGATAATAAAATGTACTAGCTTTAAAGCTTGTGTAATGCTGTTAAAACTCAGTAGTAACTATAACTATTGTTATAGCAGACCAGTAAACTTTTAGAAGTGTTTTTTTCCTGTGACCTTTACTGTTACTGGAACATTATAATAGACTAGAGAAGGAGCTGGTTTTACATTGTTTCTAAATTTTCTAAAGACCGGCTTATTTTTTGCACTTGGTAGAGTCAGCACTTTCACCAGCCTTCCTGTGAGGTGCATGGGCACAATGGAAGGATCTCATATATAGGGATCTCTTAAAGAATAGTACTCTAATCAAAGCAGGGTGGCAATGGCCTGCAGTTTTTAGGAGACAGTGGGATTGTAAATAAAGGGAGAAGTGTATGAAACTGCAAAAGGTGAATAAGTAGAATTTAAAATAAGATTTTAAGCTAGGATGATTTGGAAAGTGCTGTTTTATGTTTGCCAGAAATACAGGTTTTTGGAGGGGCTGGTTTATGGAGGAAGACTTCAACCTAAATAATAGTAGCATCATCAGAGAATAATTGTTTTTCTGTAGTATCTTTGACATTCACAGTGGTCTTGCTAGTTTGAAATTACATAAATACTCAAAGCCAAAATGAGGCAAATTTTAAACTGCAAACATTTTCAAACAGCAAGCACATTAAATTCTATTAGCTTAAAAAGCTTTGGAGAGTTTCACTTAGGTATACTTTGTTATTTAACAAAATGATTTTTACTTCAATAAACTAATTGAAGAATGATAATTCTGAGAAAAATTTTGCTCTTGTTTATGTGATGTTTTATGCAAATATTCATTTCATTCTATATCTGTTAGGCCAACTTCCCTGATTCTGTGTGTACTGGGTTTTTTTAATTCCTGGTGGACATTTTTCATTTGTCTGTGGATGCCATGGTGATGATATCACCATGAAACTTGAGGGATAATAGTCTGTTGGAGTTGGTATGCAAGTAAGATGTTTCCACTAAGCCTTCATTAAATTTTTGTATTGGCTAATAGAAATTGTAGCTTGTGAGCATATATATTGAGTTGGTTTCCTTTCACCTTCAACTGTAACTAAGCCTCCTTTCTGTTCTTCAGACATACTAGGCATACTCCAATCTCAGTACTCTTTCCAATTGCTTTTCCTCAATCTAGAATGCTTGCTCGATGTCTACATGGCTCACTCCCACTTTTCCTTCGTTTGCACACAGGTGCAAATGTCATCTAGGGAAATCTTTCCTCACCACTCTACGTACAAATGCAACTTAAATCTTCCATTTCCTATTCCTGTTTCCTACTTAATTTTTATCCTTAATAGCTGTTACTACCTGGAAGACCACACGTTTTCCTACTTTATGTCTGTCTCTACTTTCCTAGAGTGTTAGGAAATAAGAATAAGGACTGTGTCTACTTAGTTGGCTGCTAAAACCGTTGTCCCCCAAACTACCTGGAATTTAGCACATACTCAGATAATTAAATAAATGAAAGCAAGGATGGCTGAATGGGCAGGTAGAAGGAAAGATGAATGAAATGGTGAAAAAATACGTAGAAGAAAATACCAATAATCGTATCCTATAATTTTATGAGATAGATATAAGACACAGAAGTTTTTTGTAGTTTACTTGACAGTATTTGAGTTGGTATCAAACATTATACATAATGTTGAGTGCTGTAAAATTGGAAATCAAATACATTTCTGTTAAAAAGTTTATTAGCTGTGAGAAAACAAGTTTTTCAGCTTTTCTAGAATTAAGAAACAGAGGAAACAGCCATTATTCTCTGTTCTTTCTGATGATAAATCAAATTTCTCCTTATTATCCCAATGATTATGCACTATTTGTTGTACATAAGTCCTAGAAGTGTATAAAGTCTTAACTCTTCAGTCAATGGAATGACATTTTAGTGTCACTTTAATAAGTGACGACATTGGTCTGTGTGGGACTCTGGTATTTGGAACTGTAATAACATAAATTGAAGTAATTGGAATCACTATACCTTCAGGCAGCCCTGGGCTGTATCTTACACACCAGTTTTGAAGTTTCAGTGTAGTCAGTAGATTAGAAGTTTGGAAGAAAGTTCAGCATTCCTCATTGATCACAGTGAAAGGCAAATGCTCTACTCACCTGAACCCCCTCATTCCATACTATAACATGCACACAGACATGTACACACACCTCGCTCTGTGTGTGCGCGCACATATGTGCACAGTCCAGATGTGGAGCTACCCAAACTCCGAGGCAAGGAATAGTTGGATTCTACAACAGAATGATATTGAACATATTAAAGCCAATAGATTGCTACTTCTAGAGACTTGCCTAGTTCTGAGTTTTCTTCTCCTTTTTGAGTATGGATATTACTGTTTCATTTTAGGGCAGTTCATCTAACAATAACTGCTTTGCCAAAATGCGCTTTTTTGCATTGAACAGTACTGCATTTATTTTATTCTGTACAGCGTGCTTGTGTTTGTCATGTCTTTGTATTATATTCTTTGCATCCTGTAGCATGTTTGCTGGTGGTTTGTTTTCTCTTTGATATTTCTACCAGTTGACATATTGGAGATGTTTTCATCTTCAAAGAAATGAGTTCTTAAAAGTATGCACTGTACACTAAGATTTCCATTTCCCTTCTTTTCCAATGGAATGCACTAAGCATCACCTTAAAATTCTTCTGCTTCTAGAATTCTAACATTTTCAGTTTATGGGGTCTGTTTCTTGATAAATTTTAAAGTTGCATTACAATATTCAAGTATACAGAAGCTATAGCCTTTATCTTGTACTTCCAGGCAAATATTACAGTTCCTTATTTTTCAACAGCTTCGCAAAGGCTGAAAAATTTGCCTCGTACTTCCCTCAAAGCCAAACAGTTGCTTCAAACTCCATCTACAAAAAGAGGTAACTACAGCCTCTTATTAAGTTTGAAATTTCAGCAAATGGTATAGTTGAATCTCATGCCTCTTGGCATACTGGTTCAGTGATGTCTATAAGGCACATGTTAGTCTTTTTAGATAATGTGGATTTATTCTCTGGTATGTGGATGAATGCAGGAGAAACATTTTCTACAGAGGTATGTATTGGATTGCTCTTTTAAAAGGAGTACATAATTTATTTTTTTAAACCAACCTTAAACTAAGGATCACTGTTTTAATTTAATGTCAGTTGAACCAATAAGTGCTTTAAAATGAACCAAATGTCAGGCATTCGTGTGTTAATGTTTTTTCCCAGAGTAATGAATTTTTGAGTTCATTTATGTATGAAATGAAGTGGGAATACTTTTGCATTGAAAGCGGATTGAAATTAAAACACAAGTTAATGTTAGCAGATATGTTTGAAATGTTTATATAAAGTTGGAGGTTTTGTAAGACTCAGCTGTTAAAAAAGTTTAAGAAAATGAGACACTAAAGCTATACAATATTGGTTCCAAGAGATTGGTGTATGAGAGGTAGAAGGAAGTAGAATTGTAAGAAAACAGTCTTACTGAATAGACTGATACAGAGTTATTGTTTGTTTTTGAGACAGGGTCTCTATGCAATTCAGGCCAGCCTTGAATTTACTGTGTAGCCCAGGCTTGCCTAGAATTTGAGGCAATCCTGCTACCTCAGCCTCTCAAGTACTGGGATTACATGAGTGCACCACCATGCCCATATGGTTACAAAAGTACTGTAATAGATATTTTGACAAATCCACTATTTTAAGTGTTTTAGCAATGATTAGATGGATTGAGGGTAAAGAATTAGGTTTAGATAACAGAAGCTGAAAGAAGGAATAGTCAAATAGAAACGTAGGATGTGTGAATGTTTATTTGTTAAATATTAGAAGTTGACCATAGGCCTTCAATACGGATACCTTCTGGTGCCATGGTCAGAAAAACAGATTCTTTCAATAGAAAAGCAGATGACTTATTGGGTTTTTATAGAACAAGATCCTTATTATCTAGTTTATCTCCCCAAAAGAAATATAATTACAGTAAGATTTTGTCTCTACAGGAAACAGTGTTTTCATAGATCTAACATAAACTGATCAGTTTTAGCTAATAATTGTAGTATAGTTATATTGACAGTAAGAAAGGACAAAAAGGTTAGGTCTTGTTTAATTTGTAAGAAAACTAATGAAATATAAAAGTCTAAAATTGATGATTAAAACCAAAAGTACATACCTGTCACATAGAAAAAATAGAGATAGGGGCTGGGGATTTAGCTCAGCGGCATAATCGCCTGCCTTGCAAGCAGACAGTCATGAGTTCGATCCCTGGTACCGATAAAAACGAAAAAAAAAAAGACAAAAAAAAAAAAATAGAGATAAATAGTTTAAAAATACTAAAATACTTTTGGGGTCCATCCCCACTACTGGGTTTATATCTAAACGAAATTGTACTCCCTTTTTATATTGTAGCACTATACAATAGCTGAGGTTTGACATCAGCCTAGATGTCCAACAATGGATAAATGGTTTTTTAATGTGGCATATCTATACAGTGAAATACTGTTTGGTCATTTAAAAAAGTGAAATCCAGCTAAGGAGGCTGAGGCAGGAAGATCACAATCTGGGAAACTTAGCGATTTAGCAAAATCCTGTCTCAAAAAAGTAAAAAAACTAGGAATGTAGCTTAGTGGAAATGTCCTCAGTTCAATTGCTAGTTACCAAGGGGCTCAGAGGTAGTGTGAAATGCTATCATTTGTGACAGTGTTATTAGACATGGAGGATGTTAAGTAAAGCATAGTGAACCAGACAGGAACAAATGCAGTGCTGTATGATCTCATTTGATATGTGGCTTCTCATGGCACATGCCAGTAATCTGTGCACTGGGAAAGCTCATGCGGGAGGATTGCTATGAATCTAAGACCAGCCTGGATTATATAGTGAGTTCAGAACTTAACTGCATAGTGAGACCCTTTCACAAACAATCAAACAAACAAACAAAACAACTTTTGGCTTCTCCAAATGTTAACCCCATATAAGTAGAGTATAAACTAATAGTAGTAAGTGGAGATCACTATTAGGGAGAGGAGGAAAATGAGATTTGCTACTGGGCACAAAGTTACAAGGATAGGAAGAGTAAGTCCTGGAGTTGTGTTGCACAGTGAGTGACTGTGGTTGATAATAATGTACTGTGTATTTTGAAATACTAGAAAGGTCCTTTTTAACACTGTGACAGAAAGAAATGATAAGTAAAGGATATGCTAATTACCCTGTCTTGATCATTATACAAAGTATATATGAATTGAAACATTTTGCCTCATAAATACTATACCTTGAAGTTTTGAGACTTAGATTTTTTTAGTATTGTGCTTCTTTGGCCATGAGTGGAAGGCAGATTAAAAACAGATCAGCGGGCTGTGAGTGTAGCTCAGGGGGTAGAGTGCTTGCTAGTGGTAGAGTGCTCCTTTCCTAACACTACCCAAAAAACCTAGATAGGTAAGTAAGTGAGAGTTATCACAAATTGTGGTATCAAAAACAAGGCAAAATGGGGGCTGGAGATTTCGCTCAGCGGCATAAGCGCCTGCCTTGCAAGCAGGCAGTTGTGAGTTTGATCCCCGGTACCAATAAAAAGGAAAAAGACAAAAAAAAAAAAAAAAAAAAACCAAGGCAAAAGGGGTTTTTAAAAATCAGTAAATGGGGGCGAGAAATTACTCTGCTATAATAAAAGAATAAGGAATTTAAAATTTTATAAATCTTGTTATATTTGTAAGCTGTTTCTTTCTGTCTTTCTTTCTTTTGAACCAGATAGCTTTATATAATTTTAAATAAATATTTATTTATATATTTTATGTTGCTACATTTATTAGGGTAAGCAGATTATAATTTATGGCTGATTTTAAAATTTAACCATTGGAATCACATTATTTTTGTGACTTTGAGCTACCAAACTGCCTACCCTCCATGAGATGACAAGGCAGCTGACCCTCAACCAGTATAAATTGAATTTCTCCATCTCTAGCTGTCGTGTTGGGTTAGTAAAAAGACAGAAGTTTGTGTGTTGTGTGTTTGGTGTTACTGTTCTGTTTCATCTGATCTCTTGGTTAGTGATCCAGTCTTCTGTACTTTCTGGTTGATGTTGTGGCTTGGTAATTCTCACTTATGTCCTTTATGTTTAAGTTGTGGGCCAGTTAAGAAGAGGCAGGACAGATATAAAGTAGGATTTAAAATAGTAGCTTACTTACTAGTGAAGCCAAATTGAAGAATATATGTTGGACACAAGACCAAGCTCTTTCTGTCAAGAGTAACCATTCTTCTAAATTTTTATAACAGTCACTTCCTTTTCGGTATGGTTTTGTTATCCAAGTAATGAGACTGTAGTTTTCTCTTTTTAATGTCTTTTTTCTTGAGTTTCTTTTATAATTATCCTCTATTCTTCTTCTTCTATGTTTGTTTGCATGTAGAAACCATTAGGTCATGTGTTCTGCAGATGTTTTTGAAGGCTGGATGATTATTTTCCTTGATATTATTTAGTAGGTTCACCTGTAAATTGGTAGTTGGATGTAGACAAGTCATTTGATAGTTTGGTGTTTTGTACAAAACTCCATAATAAGTAGTAATACTTTTTCATCTAAAGATACAAAATGTGAGATTTTCCTTTTTGGTGGGATGTTAGCAGTCATTAATGCTCAGTGCCTAGATCCTTAATTCATTACATATCAAAGATTCAACTCTGATTTTTTCTCTTTTTTTTAGTTTCATTGATCTTCACTCTATTTTCTTTCTTGCTTTGAGTTTATTTCGCTTTTTTCCCCCACTAGGTTTTTGAAGTGTAGGAGCTTAGGTTAATGACTTAAAACTTTTCCTCTTCCTAATGATGCCCTATAATGTTGATATGTTATCTAATTTTTATTCCATCCTACATAATTTTTTTTTAATTTGGTCTGGTCTGGTCTTGTCCTATCCTTTGTTTTCCTTTCCTTTTTGGCACCGAGGTTTGAAGTCATGATCTTGCATTTACCAGGCAAGCTCTGCAGCACTGAGCTAAATCCCCAGCCATTCCACATAGTTTTTATTTCCATTTAAAAATGTGTGATTTAACTTCTAAATTTTTAAAGATTTTCCTTTTATCTTTTTGTTACTGTATGTAGTTTGCTTCTGTTATGATTAGAGAAAATTATAATTTCATTTCTTTTAAAATTGTTGATACTTGCTTTCATGACCAAGATATGGTCTTGAAATAGCTTGTGTGGGCCCTCGAAGCTGTTGACTGGGGTATTGACTAGATACTCTCGAGTGTCCACTAGTGCCTGTTGTTAGTGGTATTCTTGTCTTTCTGTCTACTTGTCAGTTTCTTCTCTAGTTTTCTCAGTTGAGAAGAGTGATTGAGAGGTGCATTTGTCTACTCTTCTGTTCAATTCCTTCAGTTTTTCCTTCACATAGTTACAGCTCTGTTGTTTGGTACATGCACATTTAGGATTGTATATCTTGTTTTGAGCATTATGTCATCATGTATTATATACCTCTTCATCTTTAACAGTTTTATTATATATGTTAATATAGCTTTGTATTGTTTGCATGAGAAAATGTTTTTCATCTTTTTATTTGTATCCCCCATGTTATATTTGAATTGAGTTTTTAGTAGACAATGTAAAGTTGTTTCTCAATCCACTCTGCCAGATCTTTTAATTGATGTATGTAGGCCATTTTACATTTTATGTAATTACTGACATGTTAGGGCTTATGGCTGACATTTTTTCCTTTTTCATTTCTGCTTTCATATTCTCCTGAGGGTCACTTGAACATTGTTTAGGATCCTATTTTGTTGTCCTTACTGACTTGAGGGTATATGTTTGCATAGTTATTAGTAATGTTTACTACTAATAACCTACTATAGTCTATTGGTATCTTCATTTTAGAAATTTAGTTATACAAACTTACTTTCTTTTGTGTATCTTTACCCTAACCCATTTACAGTA